CATGAGTAACGCTCTCTATCTTGTAGTAAAACCTGTTTCCCCGGGCTCAAGTATGGAAACGGCCTAGACCGCCGATCTACCATCGATATAACATCGAATATACACAGGACCTACTCTGTACCAAGGTCAACATTTATAGTGCGCGTCTGAGCAGAGCAGCTGAATGGCGCTACGGTTAGGCCGCTGGCGGAAGAGCATCCGGAGAGCAGCATTCATTGTTTCCGCGCAATCCAAAGTGTTTCAATCTTACACGGACCCCTGCCTTCTCCTAATTGATCGCTTACTTCTATTGTAAGTGGCCTCTGCTTGTGTTATAGATTTAAGAACCAACACTGAGTTGGTACATTGTCCGTGGCTATCCCATTTAGAGTAACAGCCACCCCATCCAAGCCCTAATACACTTCCCGCTGTTCTCATCGAATGTAACCAGCACTCTCCACTAACAAAGTAAACAAAGAAGCCTGGGGAAAGAGTGACAAAATGAAGTGCCGGACTGGACACGGATTGGTGAATTGCCGTGGCGACTCAAATCTGGAGGCTGGACTTGGATGATTGGCGTTTCTTTGTTCTGAGCTGTACTGCTGCCTGCTACTTGTCCTATATTACGAAGAAGCCCCCATTCATCGACTGGACTAGAAGGCTTTCTTGTTCGCTGCTTCAAATTATGAAGCTATCTGAGTGGCTTCATGTCGACCCAGCAGGGTATTGTACCCCCTCCTCCCGGGGTAGAGCCCAACTTTATCAATCCCCCGAACCATTTGCAAGTTTGCACCCCGTTCCAAGCGGTTTACTTGACCCTTAACTCCATCGCTTTGGTGATGCGACTGTATACTCGACGATTTATCATACGAGATTCTCTTAGGATCGATGACTGTAAGTGGTTTCACCCATACACCGAAACAATATGACTAAATGTGGGTAGACCTCTGTATGATTGCTTATGTATGCAATTCTGTACATGCCGGATGTTCAAGGTACTAAAAGGACAGCAAACAGTTTTTTTCTGTGTGCTTTGCAGTCACCGTTCTCCAAGGCATGAGACTCCAAACTTTTCTTTCGCAACAGCTGTTAACTGTCCTTGCAGGTTATAACTTGGGACTTGGACGCAGCGTATGGGATATTCCACGTAGCGAGGCTACGGCGATCACAAAAGTAAGAACAAGCAATACAGTGACAGGGCTATCTAGATTTAATAACGAGACTAGTCTACCTTCCATGGATTCCTTGCTCTTGTCCTCTGCCTAGCCTTTTCCAAGCTCGCCATCCTCTCCTTCTACTACCGCCTCTTTTGCTCCCAATCCACCTTGAAAGCCTTGATTATCATCGGTGTCGTTTTCGAAGCAAGTGCAAGCCTTGCCTTGGTGGTTGTCACTCACTACACATTCACACCATTTGAGGTATTTGGGGATCCGGCAATCAAGCCAAAAATCCCGCGAGCGCTCCCCGTTTGCTTTTCATCTCTACTCGGTATGACAACAGATATATACACCCTTGTGCTCCCGATACCAACGGTGTTAAGATTGAAGGTACCTCTACGGCAGAAGTTTAAAGCTCTAGCCATCATCATTCTTGGAGCTAGGTATGCCCTTCCACCTCTCCCCAACCTCGTCGATCTCCATCATGGGATGCAGCTAACTGATACAAAGTGCATGCGCTGCAAGCATTATGCGTGTCTACCATGTCTCCCAAATGAAAGATCTCAACGTGTTATGGAATATAATGTTCGTGGGATCAGTGGGATTCTGGGCGTATGTCTCTTCCCCGGAATTTGGATACTAGACATCCGACTGACCATGATCTCAGCAGTGCGCTCGAATGTGACCATGCTCTTCTTTGCTCGTGTCTCCTCATCCTTCCCGTCTTCATACAGCACCACTGGCCTAAATTTAGATCGCTTTTCGGTAAAGTCCGGACCAAACAGCGTGACTCCAGGGTAGAAGCACGGCCCTTACAGCCCACGCGCTCCTGGCCGGTCCAGGATCAGTGGGATGTTAATAAAAGAGTCGACATTTATATATTTGAGGAGGTTAGACACTTCGAAAACCGGCCAAATGCGCATCTTGCGATACATCCTAACCGCCCGTTGTCCTCGGCTGATATAGAGCGGGGGGAAGGAAGTGATCGTCGGTAGCTTGGTTCTGTGAAGTAGGGTCGAAGGTGCAACCTGGGATGGTACTTAGAGTTATATGCTGGATACTCTCGCAGCCGAGATTTGTATATGTGTATACGTTATTGTGAATAAAAGTTCATGTGTAGTTTAACTACCCGAAAAGCTCAAGTCGACACAACATGTGTGGAATGTTGCCTCTACGACTATAGTCTGCGGGTGCCCTGTGGTCTGTACTTACTGCGCAAGAAGGCAGGTCGCGGGTTGTGCAATCCCCTCGGCATGTTAACAATGACCCTGGCTGCTACTGAACGTATGTTCAACGTCCGATTGAAAACCTCCACGGCTGTTTGTAATACGGATTGTCATTTAATGAGATGCATCCCTCACGAGGTAGAACCAAGGGGTAAGGCTAACGTCGGTGTCTTCCCGATGTGAATACTGGCCATAGCCACCTGATATATGTTTTGCACCCAGCATTCTTTCAATTTTCCATAGTATACAGCGGCAGTACTATCTACTTCAGCGCGTAAATACTCAACATATCCGCTCCTCTTCCTGCATCGTATGATCGAGCAGGCCTTCGATACTGCAGCCTCCTAAACCGACCCGGTAGCTGATCGGCCTGATCAACCTCAGCCTCTTTCCCAATATTCTGGAAACCGTCACCTCCCCGCGCCAGCAGATCCCAGTGGACTCCATTGAGCCCCCAAGGCGGACCAGGCTGAGTAGGATCCTTGTACATGGGAAACTCTAGACAAACCAAGACTCCGTCGGAAGCCACCACCTGGCTCATGCGCGCTGCCCACTGGGGACGCATCTGCGGGTGCAAAGCACAAAGGAACTGTCCCAGTTAGTTTCATCCCAACCCGTTATTACCAAGGAATCACCAAGATGTACATACCGTATAATCGTAGACCAAATCAAACTTGATATCACCGTTGGCTGAGATCTGTCGCTCCCAGTCGGGTTTGAAGAAGTCGCCTTCAACAAAAGAAGCATTGCCCGGCGTCACTGGCCCCGTCCATCCCACCCCAAAGTTGTATTCCTGGGGCCGTTGCATCTCGGACGCCGCATATTTCTCAGCGGTGGCTACACCAGTTGCTGATATCTCGAGTCCATAGGCGTCGAACCCATGCAGGGCGAGCATGATGACGTCATAACCGCGTCCACAGCCCTGATATTGTAGATTGGTCATTAACCTGCACAGAGAACATCGAGAAGATGAAGCTCATACGGGAACAAGCGCCTTCTTCCGCTGGCCGTCTGGCTTCAGAGGCTGGAAGATAGTGTTATTCTTTTCTTGCTCGATGAGATCAATCAGTGCAGGGGAGGGTTTTCCCCGATCCCAGAGGTCGCTCTCATTTGAGTCCCAGAGGGAGGACCAGCCGGATCCGTGTTCCTCTACCGGCCTGAAGTAGTTAGTACCTGATCGAAACCCATTCCGATATTGTAAAATGTTTGCATACCGGTCTTGAAAGTGGCCGATGAGTCGGCCTTGGACTACCGGTGCTGTGGGTTCTTGTGTAGGACTCATTGCAACTTAAAAAGAAAACGGTAGATTTCTCTGATGCGTAACTAGTGAGTCTTTACGATCAGGTCTCGAATAGCCTTTTTATACATCCGCTCATGTGGGGTGACATGAATCGGAGTCTATCAGTTTGTGATGGAGGCTGTGGAAATGTGTGGGTCGTTTCGGGCAATGGATGACGGCTGCGATCGCCGACGACGGCGTTTCGGCGTTTGAAAGGCGCGTATAGGAAGAACATAAGCTCTCCTCGTTGCTACCACCATTTTCTTCAGCAACTACAAAATACAGTGGTATTCTCACCATGATACGAGTGGTCCTGTGGAAGCGACTGCTATTGTGATATGCTATATTCAACGCCAAACGCCCTCTCATTCAGTCGCCTGTGCTGCCACCTGTAATACTGCACGACCAGCCAGCTCACCCGCATTCAGCTTCTCGATCCATGAATCCAAGTCTTCCAACTTCCCCTTGGACAGAATTGGCTGTTTCCGACTTAGCATGCCGAGCCGAACTCGTGTGGGAGAAACTTACATGTACAATGCCTCGCGCCGTAAAATCCAGCGCCTCCTCTACATCTTTCAAACTCCCAGTGATATTCCCGACGATATTTAATCGTCTCAAAGCGATGACCAGCGGAGGTGCGCCTGCGAGAATGGACGGATCCTTGGGTAGACCAACCACCACCATTGTGCCCCCGGGCCGGAGGTACATGGGTGCCCATTCGTAGACGGTCTTACTGGCAGCCGTCACGACCACGCCGTGTGCCCCGTGTTTCGTGATTCGCATGACCTCATCCTTGATGTCTGCAGGAGCTTTGAATTTCTGGAAATCAATGTATGCCTCGGCCCCGAGCTTCTCGCAAAGCTCCCGCTTCTCGTCGCCGCCATCAATAGCGAGGACTCTCATGCCCATTGCGCGCGCATACTGGATAGCCAAATGGCCCAGTCCGCCTCCAGCGCCGGGGAGCACCAGCCATTGACCGGACTTGACGGCAGACCTAAAGTAAACGAGTTACTCCAACGTGCACACAAAGGCAACAAAAAGGCAGTACATACCTCTTGCAAGCCGTATACGCAGTAACACCGCCACACATGATCGGACCGGCCTCCTCATCCGACACCCCATCCGGAATCTTCGACGTATATCTCCCATCCACAAGACAATACTCCTGGAACGTCCCCGGCGCCGAAAATCCACTATTAATCTGCTTCTCACAATGCACCTCATCAACCCCATTGAGACAGAACTCACATTCTCCACAGGTACTCGCAATCCACTTGACGCCCGCCCGATCGCCGACCTTCCACCGCCGCTGCATGCCCTCGCCAACGGCGACGACAACGCCCGCCCCTTCGTGTCCCGCGATTCCTTGGCTCTGGGGCAGCATGGCCACGCCGAAATCCTGCCAGTCGTCGTGCAGGAGAGACTTGTCCGAGCCGCAGAGCCCAGTCCAGTTGATCTTTACCAGGATCTGGCCCGGCCCGGGTTGCGGGACGTCGATGGTCTCGATGGTCGTCGTGGCAGTTTCGCCTGTGCCATGACGGACGGCGGCTCGTTGGCGCGTCGGGATAGTTGGGGCTGGGATTGTCATTGTGTGGTGACCTTTTGACTCAACATACACTGTGTAAAACACAAAAGATATAAGACAGGATAGGATATACAACACAATTCGTACTCAGTATTCTTCAACAAAAGAATAGAAGAAACTAACCCGTCAGCAACAGGAGTCAAATGAGGGGCAAACCCTGACCACAATCAATCCCAGCTATAAATACCCCAACTCCGCACCACACACGTGAGACGACTCTGCATATCCATCGACAGGGATACTGATCACGCTCGCGTACGCTCTCCGTAGATATCGTATTCTCTGCGGGAATCCCGGGGTATAGTAAAGCAATTAATTAACTTCTAGTCGCCGGTGCTCCACTTGGCTTGCATCCCACCCAATCCGCTTTCATGGTGACCGGGGAAAGGGCCGTTGTGGCGTCATCAGGCGCTGGCTTCTCCGCACGGTGAATGTCAATGAGCTCTTGTCATTGGAATTGGGAGGTTGGGATTGGTTGGGCGTGGAATTGGATTTGAGTCAGTTTCTTGGGGGGTTGTGCTGGGCTGTACATTAGGGCTGGAGTTGTGCCTTGTGAGGTCTTGGATCCGAGGCTGGAATCGGCTGTGAGGGAAGGTAGTTAAGATACCTGGCTTTCCAGTGACTGATAACAGAGTGATTAGATAAATATACCAATGTTGGTGCACAAAGGAAACAATTAGCAGTTCACATGCATTTCCTATATAGGGCTACGTAACAAACGTTTTCAAGCTCGGTCAGGGGCAGGGACAAGCTACCAAACCAGCCTCAGAGTCTAACGCCATATTCCAGACCAGTAATACAATGCCAGAGTGACTGGGACGAGCTATTACCAGAATGAGAACCGTGAAGTCATACCGAACCTTAACTGGACGATTCCCTGATCGAGATAAAGTTATCACAATAAGTTAATAACCCAAACAATTCTAGGAAGTGTTAAAGCACTCAGTCCAGACCTGAAACACCTGGCTAGATCATACCATCTTGATAGAACCTGCTTGTACCATGCATGAACGTCCTGTCCCATCTGACATTCACTCAGCTCGTTCAATGAACCAGGACAGCGCCTGGCTATATCTAGATAGATATATCGGCATGACGCGATGTTACTCTACCTCTCACTTGCTGGTATCTTGGATAGCCTCTGATGTTCGGGAGTACATGGTTGTTCAACCTATGCAGGTTTAGAAGGAGAGCTGGACTTGGAGTGATTTGGTTTCTGGGCTGGAAAGCTTATAAATAGTATTGTGGGTAACTGGGGGTTTACTATAAATTTGCTAGACCTATCTCGCTTATAGGGTGTGATTCATTGGCCATTTTGAATAATTGATTTCTCATATACTATATCTATACCTAAACATGACTGATAATTGTCAAGACGTGACCCCCTCTGCATTCGTACCCCGGCCTCTGAAGATAGTGGTTATCGGGGCAGGGTACGTTTATCCATCACACTGTGGCTCCAACGTCATACTCATGAAGCAGTATATCAGGAATCCAATTCGCCCATGAAATCACGACACGAATGTCCAACATCGAGCTCGAAATATACGAAAAAACCCCAAACCAGGCGGAACCTGGTATGAGAATCGATACCCGGGGTATACATTCTCCCTCACCACAGGCATGAACAATATGCAAGAAAGGAACAACAATGGCTAACCACACACCAGATGCGCATGCGACGTACCCGCGCACGGATACCAGTATAGCTGGGCGCCCAACCCATGCTGGTCGAAGGCCTACGCGCCCGCCCACGAGATCTACGCCTATCTTGAATCTGTGGTTGACAAACATGATCTTGGAAAGTTTATCCGTTTCAATCATAGGTGTATCTCGGCGGCGTGGAACGAGGAGAGTTCGCTGTGGACTACGACGTTTCTAGATGACAGGTCTGGTGAGGAGACGGTGGTCCGGTCTGATGTTTTGATTTACGCTGTTGGGAGGTTGAATGACTATCAGATTCCGGCGTTCGAGGGTCGAGATAAATTCAAGGGTCGGGTGTTTCATACGGCCGCGTGGCCGGAGGACGTGGATATTCGTGGGAAGCGGATTGCTGTGCTTGGGAATGGGGCCAGTGGTATTCAATGCGTGGCTGGCCTTCGGGAGGGTATGTTGATTCCCTAGGCTTGGAGATTAGGTACATATACTTACTGTGGTGGTAGAAGCTGGAGAGATTCTCAATTTTGCACCACACCCGACGTGGCTTGGGCCTGAGCCGTTCGTTGAGAATCGTGAATGTAGGTCCTCTGCCCAAAATAGTTTGAGATCGAGATGCTGATTAAATGTAGATGGCGAACAGGAGAAGCTCATGTTTCGGAGAAACCCTCAAGCTTACCATGACTTCCGAATGGAAGTAGAAAAGGCAACATTGCCGGCCTTTGCTTTCCTCTGGAAGGATACCCCCCCAAGCCAAAACCTTCGTTCTCGTGCGGAATCATACATTAAGTCCAAAGTCGATGATCCGGAACTGCAACAGAAACTGACCCCAGACTATACCCCCGGATGTCGTCGATGGGCCCCTGGCGAACAGTACATCACTGCAGTACAACAACCACATGTCAAGCTAATAGAAGACCACGTGGCTGCTCTCACAGAGAATGGATTTCGCACTACGCAAGGGGATGAGTATGAATGTGACATGATCGTCTGTGCAACGGGGTTCAGTCTATATAACCCACGCGTCCCTGTCGTCGGACGCAACGGTATCACCCTCGCCGATTGTTGGGGCTCGGAGGGCCCGTGTGAGAGTTATATGGCAGCGGCGGTTGCACACTTCCCTAACTTCTTTGGTTTGTTTTCTTGGAGTGGAAACTTTCGGGAGGATTCCAAATTGACGATTACCCAGCATTCCATCCACCCAACTGCCCGATAAACGGTTCCGCATTCCCCGGTATCGAACGGACAGCAGATTATATCGTACGAGTCCTTCATCGTCTTCAAACCGATCGTCTCCAGTCCGTCAGTGTGCGACCCGAAGCCCAACGGGAATTCAACAAATGGGTTCAGTCTCAGATGTCGGGCATGGTGTGGTCTGATTCTTGCAATTCATGGTGTATGTTTTACTTCCCTGCATATATCATCACTGCTAACCAACATAAGACAAAAATAAAGATGGAAAGATTATTGTTCCCTGGCCGGGAACTACTAACCACTACTTTGCTGCTACGGAGATCGTACGCTGGGAAGACTTCGACTTGGTGTTCGAGGACCCGGCGCAGAAATATATGAGCTTCGGGAATGGAGTGACGATGGATGGTTTCAAGCCGGAGTCGATACCATGGGTGCAACCACCGGAGTATGTGAATTGATGGAGGTATCTAGACGGCTATATCTCATGTTTTGATAGTCCTGTGTATGTACTGGTGGAAAGTAATTGAATAATTGATCGGATGACCTAAGCGTCTCTGAAAAATGAATA